TAGCACTTGGCTTTTATTTAGCGATGGAACCGTGACCCCTTTAGATATCTACGACCCCAAGGATTTCTCCTTGGTGGTCACCTCGCTGGATGAAATGGTGGTGTCTGTCCATCAAAGGCAGGAAGATGACTGGCCAGTAGTGGTGGCCGAAGGTGAAGGCCAAGGACCGTTGATTAAAATAGAACTGGTGATCAGCGAGGCCTGCCAGAAGTCCAAGCGCAAGAGTAATTTGGCCGTTGGGAAAGGGAACGTCAAGGTGAAATTTGCTCCAAAGACATCTGAACGCAATGAAGAGACCAAGAATGGCAAAGATGCAGAGGGTGGTTTTAAAAGCAACTCGTTAGAAAATCCCCTGGAAGGAGAGAGAGCAGGGCAGGACTGGTCCAAACACGATGCTTCTATGAATCAGGATGAGTTGACCAACTCAAACGCAAGCTCTCCCATTAATTCTCACAGAGAGGAACATCTTCGAAACAATTCTCTTACCTCTACGAGCTTTCCCACCCAAGAGGCTGTCCCAAGGCAGAATAGCCCCAGTGATCTCACCCTGGCTTCTAGAGGTTTAACCGATCTGGAGATTGGGATGTACGCTCTTCTCTGTGTCTTCTGCTTAGCCATCCTGGTCTTCTTAATCAACTGCGTGGCGTTTGCCTGGAAGTACCGTCACAAAAGATTCACCATCAGTGAGCAAGGGAACCTCCCCCATTCCCATGACTGGGTGTGGCTGGGCAACGAGGTCGAGCTGTTGGAGAGTCCCGTGGACATTTCTCTCCCATCGGACGAATGCACCACCATCATTGACCGCGGGATACTTTTTGAAGAAAGCAACTTCCTCCTCAACGGAAGTTCTCAGAAGAGCTTCCACAACCAGATCCTTCGGTCTTCTGAATACGATTGTGACAAGGACTTCAGAAACGAACCTATAAACCCTCCCGGGCCCAAGCGGAAGAGGGTTAAATTCACCTCCTACACCACCATTCTGCCGGAGGATGGTGGCCCCTACACCAACTCCATTCTCTTTGACGGTGATGATGACATCAAATGGGTCTGCCAAGATATGAACTTAGGTGATTCCCAGGAATTTAGAGACTATATGGAAAGACTTCAGGACCATATGTAAACACACACACAGAGACAGACACACACAAACAACTATACATATATAAATATATATAGAACAAAACACAATTATCTTTTTATGTTTGTATTCACCTTTATGCCTTCTGTTTTATGGATGATGGAGCAGCGAAACCCAGCCAGTGATGGAGAATACTTCTCCAGATTCGGGAGATCTGGGCTCACGATGGTTGTGAGATGGAATCCTGGCTGTGTTCTCTTCTGTTTCATTGGATACCAAACAGCTACCTACAAATCTCGGAGAAACACAACAAACTTTTTTTTGTACGCCACCAGAAACTTGTGATAGCCAATCTTGTTCAGCTCGAGACAAAGAGGATGGGTTGGTCCGTTACGTTTTCACACGTTGGGGAAAAAAAAACATTTTGGAGACTGGGATGGGGTGGGGTTGATTTATTTTTATTTCCCCCCCCCTAGAAAATCTTTGTAGAAGCACAGTTGAGATTCCGTCTTCAAAGCCGGAATCCACACCTCCTTGTAAAGAATTAGAACAAAATGGCCTGTTGATCAACCACGGACCAACGTGCCCTTTTTATTTCATTTTTAATATGGCTCATTTGTTTTGCGGTATTTGTTTAAAGAGCTTTCTTGATTTTTTTTTTATTTGGGGGGGCAGAGGAGGTGGGATGGGGGGCATTCTCAGTACATTATATGCCCTTTCTTTTGAGAAGACTTTTCAACCTTGGTTGTGCCAAAGTATCCTGCAATATAGTCCTAGAGTTAAAGGGAGACTGGGATAGCTATTTTGAGCTAATTAGCTCTCATCAGCCAGCCATACCCTTCTATATATTCATTGAGAGCAATGAGGAATGTGCCCCAATTAAATAAGTGGCAGGGGTTTTTTTGTTTGAAAAAATATATACTTGTTTGTATAAAAGTCCAGTTTTCCATTTTGGTAGAGGCCTTCTCACTTCCTCTTTTAGTAACTGGAGAGGGGATAACAAGGCTGTGAGGTTTTCACATGATTTTGCGGGATGTTTGTATGTGTGAAAGAACAGGATAAGATTTCGAACAGAGGTTAGTTTGTAGAGCTTGCCTGGTCTGAGGCTACAGTCCCTACCTAGCTGATCAATAATCTTTGCATATAGAACATAGAATCCTAGGGCTGGAAGGTACCTTGGGGGTCTTCTAGTCCAGCCCTTTGCTCAAGGCAGGAGCTTTACACCACTCCAGTCAAACGGTTGTCCAGTTTATTTTTGAAAACCTCGAGTGACGGAGCACCCACAATTCTGGGAGGCATGCTATTCCACTGATTAATCGCTCTCACTAACAGGAAATTTCTCCTTACTTCTAGCTTGGATCTCTCCTTGATAAGCCTCCATCTGTTCCTTCTTGTCCTACCTCAGGTGCTTTGGAGAAGAGGTTGACCCCCCTCTTCTCTGTGATAGCCCCTCAAGTACTGGAAGGTGGCTAATGTGTCCCAATGCAACTGATTGGGCTAATTCCATTCAGTGTATATAAGGTCTCCTGCTTGAGCAGGGCGTTGGACTAGAAGACCTCCCGAGTCCCCTCCAACTCTGTTATGCTCTTCTGTTCTCAGTTTCAACCCTGCACAGATTTTTGTGCTTCTGGGGACCTAAAGAGAACAAAGCAAAGCACACAAACAAAAGACCCAACTCTCCCAAACAGTGGCTCTACAAACCTGAAATTCATTCGTTTGGAGCGAAACCAGGAGGTCTTCTGATCCACCTTCCTCCTTGTCCTGGGGTAGGAGTCCTCATGCCATCTTTAGATGAATGATTGTCCAGCCTTCACTTGAAACCCTCCAGGGATGGAGCACCCAATGAGGTGCACACACCATCACGATGGACGTCTTTCCTCCGGAATTTTCTTTTAACACCGATCCTTGGTGAGAAGGCCTTCCCTAAGCCATTCAAAAAGGCAACGGCATCTCATTTTCTTCCAAAAAAAGCATCTTTGACCCCATGTGCACGTCGATGCGAGACTAATTCATTCATGAACGAATCGATGAAAGCAGTGGTGGGATTCAAATAGGTGAACAACCGTTTCTCTGTATGGACGCCACTTCCGGAAGTCCGTTCTGGGCCCGGTCAACAAAAAATTAGCTACCGGTTCTGCCGAACTGGTGCGAACTGGCTGAATCCCACCACCTATGAAAGCTCCTATTATAGGTTGACCGTCATGTTCTTCAAGTTGTGTGAGCAACCCTGATTTGTATCTCTTTTTTTCCCCAGAGGTGGGTTTTGCAACTGCCCTATATTGCTTCATTTTCTTACTTTGGAACCCCCCCCCTAAGATCTATGTTCTTACAAGGGAACTGTATATACAATAAAAAGATGGGGGAATATAAGAGAATTTTTAGCAGTGTTTTGGGACATTCTTTTGAAGCTTCACAGCAGTAGGGGTCAATGGTGGGCTGGGTGGCTTGGGTCATGTTTGCAGCCGCCATCTTGGTTCTTTGAACCTCTCCTGCCTCTCATGAATGGGTAGGTCCCAAACCCTCATGGTTATTGAGTCTTCTCATGAGGAGTCCTTGGTGCTCTCTGAGTTTGGTGGTAACATCATCAGACTACCACTGATGATGTTACCTAGTTGGGTTATGAACCGCTGCAAGTAAACTACCAAGCTCAGAGAACACGGATTATTCCTCCTCCTCCTCCTCCTCCTCCTCCTCCTCCTCCTCCTCCTCCTCCTCCTCCTCCTCCTCCTCCTCCTCCTTCTTCTTCTTCTTCTTCTTCTTCTTCTTCTTCTTCTTCTTCTTCTTCTTCTTCTTCTTCTTCTTCTTCTTCTTCTTCTTCTTCTTCTTCTTCTTCTTCTTCTTCTTCTTCTTCTTCTTCTTCTTCTCTGCAAACCCCCCTCCCGTCTAGCACTGATGATGTTACCTAGTTGGGTCTGCAAGGAAACCCCCAAGCTCAGAGAGCACAAAGATCCCTCATTTACAAATAGTCTTTTCATGATTTGGTAGTATCTCTATCAAAGGACAGAGATGACTGGTTTCTGATTTAATCCATGTTGGGGGTTCAGACAGAACATGTGACCCCTACAACTCAAGACATCCTCCCCAAAAAAGCAAGACAAATCAAAACCATTCAAACCACCTACAGCCACTCAACTGCCAAAGTTGGAAGGAACAGTTGGCCCTTGGCTAAGCAATTATTTATGAAGTAGGGGCCGAGAGTTTACCAGCTTGGTTTAACTCCCATTTTGAAAACTTTCTGAGAAGCCTGCAGATTATGAATAAAACCAACTTTTGCTATCTGATGTCCTCTGTGTATATTGGGATATGAAGCCTAGCTTGGTCTGCAGATCAGCTTGGTGGGAATTCAGAGACTCAGAAGACTTTCCAGAGTGGGCTAAGATTGCAAGTGGGTGATGATTCTGTAGACAGAAGGTGAAAAACATCCAGATGTTGACCCCAACCGTGCATGGGAACCCCTGCCCCTTTTTAACGGCAAAGGGGGCAATAGTCCCACAGTTGTGACCATCCTCTTGACTTTTTTTTTTGATTCCTCCAACAGATGCGCTTTCTGCCAAAGCTGCAGGAAACCCTTTGCAACGTGGATGTTATGGGGAATTTTATTTTATATTTTTAAAGCAAAGCCTTGAAAAGAAGCTACACTGAAAGCTTTTATGCTGCTTTCTTCTCCAAAAAGAGCTTTTTCTAGGAAAGCTATCTCAGAATGCTTTTTTGGAGTGGCGTATTACTTATGGAGTTCAAAGGAGCACGCTTAAAGTACATGGGGAAAAAAACCCCTCTAAAAATCAGAACGAGGCTGTTGATACTTGGCTATTTAAAAGTCTCGGGTTTCACTTTGGGATCCAGACTTTTTGGTAAATTAGGACAGAGATGAATTGGAGAGGCAGAACTCTGAATTCTCGAGAGGTCCTTTTGCCCAGGAAAGTGATTTCAGACTGCAAAGATGCCCCCAGATTCATATCCAGATGGCAGAAAGAAGTAAATTAACCCCCAAAAGACATTTCCCAGCAAGACGAGAGAATTGCATTGAGTGGTACAGCTGGGGTGTTCACAAGAATTGATCCATCACCCCAGCAGATGGAATTTAGCTCAGCGGCAGAGAAAATGGATGACCAATGAGACAGGAGATTTTATCATTTTTTTTAAAGAAACAAAAAGAGTAAAGAATCACATCCAAGTATATTTAGAGTGTGTATCAAAAGACATAACCATCGGCGCATGGGGGACCTTGAACATTTGTATAACAGGCCTGATGGTTGTAAGATTCTGGATGGGACTTGGGAGATGATTCCCCCAACTTTGTAACGTAGTGGATGTGGATAACTATGTGGATGCACATCATTTTCAAAGGGTGTGAATGGAGATGGAAAGGTTGATGGTGAGGAAGCCGAACAAGTAATGAAGGGAGCTATAGGGCAAGAAGAATCTGGACCACATGTTTAGCTCCAGTTAAACTGATTTATCACTCAAGAATCTAGTCAACTAACGGTCAGCACTAAATTGGCAACAGAGAAGAGTTAACGGAATTCATAGGAGGTTAGTTTCTGGAAACGTCATGATTCCAGGCTGATTGCTCTCTTGACTCCACCCCCAGCATCTGCCTCTCCTTCTCCTACAGGAACCTCTTAATTTCTGGAGATAAATTTCAGTGAATGAGTGTTCCAACCTCAAATTATGACAAGCATTTGCTAATTAGCAACTGCGCAGCGGGGAGCCCGATGCGAAACATTAATGAGCATGACTGGACTCTTGTTTTCCTGCTGCTTTTTTTTTTTAAAGAATATTTGAAAACTATATGTTGAAACAGTGCTCTGAGTATGACAGCTTTACTGGCATTTGCAGATTGACGAGGAATTAAAAGGCCGAAGAATCTTCCTGTAGACAAAACCCATCTTGGAAGCAACTATTTTCTATTCAGAAAAGAGGAGAAGGCGCTTAGCTTTTAGGATGAGAATCGCATCAACTCTGTCAATCAGTGTTGGGTAAGAACCTTAATTCATGAGCTGAATCCTGGCTGTGACAGGTTTTGCACATTCAGAGAATAA